ACTTCTGAAAGTGAACGGTAGTGTTTTACTCTAGCATTACATAAAAATGTCATTTTAACATTAGTGTAATAATTTTAACATGAGTTTAGGAACTGAATAATAAAAAGGAAAAATAAAACACTGCTTAGTATTTCCTCTTTGAATTCAATATGCACTGATTCTTATTTAAGCTACAAAAGTTATTTAGGTAAGAGCAGTGAGTGATTTTCTCTTTGTCTTTTGTTCATGGCCCCAAATATTGCAAGCTGTAGCGATATGCATATTGTGATATGTACATTTGTGATATTTCGATAATTTCGATGTATTGCCCAGCCCTAATATATATACACATACACACACACACACATATATATATATATGTGTGTGTGTGTGTATGTATATACAATATATATATATTCAGATATACAAATAGCATTACATTTATTATATAATGTGTTTTCCTCAAAAGAGGGATAAAAAGGAACAAAAAGTTTTGTTTAACAATTTATTAGAGTACAAAAAGTACACTAGGTCTTTAATTATTTCAGATTCAAACTGTATTTTATAATTATATATATTGTTATAAACAGATTATTGTGCTTATACAAGTAAAGTCTATATGTGTTAAATAATGTTTGCAGTTTTTCCTTCCTGAAAACATTAGGCTGTATTGTGATTTCAGGTTTTCATCCCCAAATTTAAGACCTTAAATGATTAAGATATGCTCCTAAATTCATTTTACAGTTTGCACACATCTATTTTTAGTTGCAAATGAAAGTTGCTAATGAAATGTTCGCACTGTTGAGCTCTTGTACAGGAATGTATACTTAAAATTGCACTGAATGATTTTAACAATACAATTATTTTGCTAAAAATAATTTCTTTTTGATGTGCAGTGATTTAGCAGGGTGTGTGTGTGTGTGTTTCTCAGATATTTGTTGCCCGTGATAAGGCCTTACTTTCTTCACACTGTTCCAGCATAGTAAAAGTCAGTATGTTTTATGGATGTAAACATTTTCCTACTGTTTAAAAGACAGAGCATTTATAGGACTTTTGGGGTCGTCGTCTTGTTCAAAACCAAAAAGGGAAAATTCACTGTTGATTGTCTTGTCCTGTGTTTGGACGCAGGCCCATAATCATTGCCATAGAGTGCCTGGGCTGGTGCACACATGTACATTTTGTTAGTGCACCTTGCTGTATGTGGTTTATTGAGTTAATAAAGACTGAAAAAGTTGTGTGGAAATGTTGCCCTCAGCAGAAACCTTTTAAACCGCATTAATAGCTTTGCATCAGGAATACTATTTAAATATTTATATGCAGAAGATTAAAATGTTTTAGAATGATCAACAGTGCCGTGGTCTGTTTTTTTAATAGTGGCTGCGTAATACCAAGAATATGTAGACTTTAAATGTGTAACATCATTTGTGGCTTTGTACTTGCTTCAGAAGTTTAATCTAAAACGTATATAAATGTTTAATAGACACTATATACTCGAGGCTATGAAATTGCTGGTTAAATTCTGATTTTTAGTTTACTGCAGTGACAAATCAATTGTTAACATGCAAGTATACACTACTGTTTATTACTGAATATTATTGAAAGATTTTCATGAATTTTATGCTCACCAAGGCTGTATTCATTTGTAGAAAAATACAGTAATACTGTAAAATATTAATACAAATGAAAATAACTATTTTCTATTTTAAAATATTTTAATTTATTCCTGCGATGGTAAAGCTGATTTTTTTTGTGGAATACATGATACATTCATTTTTCCCAGGATTTTTTGATGAATAGAAAATGCTAAATGCAAATAAATTTTTTGTAACGTTATCAGTCTTCCACTTTTTTAATGTGGGAAAGTGAAATAACATGAGAATTTGTTTGATCAATTTAATGGATCATAGCTGAATGAAAGTATTAATTTATTTTCCAAAAAAAAAAAAAACTATTACTGACCCCACACTTCTGAACAGTATTACTATCAACTTCAGTTCATAAAATCTGCAGGTATAATATTACACAACATAAATCATGTTAACTACACATTTTCTTTTCGAATATTGCAAATTCCGTTAATTGCTATTTTTTAGTATTGAAACACCAAAACTAGGTATGTGTGATTGGTTTATTACAATGCCATATACCCAACAGATCTTAAGACAGACATATAACTTTTTTTTAAATCATCAGAGCCATTCATACACTCTTACGATTTTATTTCGTTTTACTGCAAGCCAAGCAAACAGAATACGTTATTATTGCTGAGAATGTTGTAGATCACAGACGAGAATTCCCCCTTGCTCTAGACCGAAACACACAAGAGCGTCCCTGTGAAACTGAGTTTCAATCTTAAAATCAGAAATCTTCGTAAATTCAGAATCTGTCGTAAAGCACAAAAACGGTGCAAGAACGCAGTCTCGACAACACTGTTAAACTGAATTGAGGCATTAAATGTTCCAGACTGATGAAACTACAGTGCAAGTGTGACAAGATTCGCCAGAATGAACTAAATGGCGTAGTGACAAACGTACAAAGTAGTTGTCATTTAGCTTACAGCGTGGGAGAATGTTATTGCCTCCTTTATCTGATTGCAATCTCTGCAGCGACAAAAACAAGATGTCAGTGAGCACACAAACACTATGGACACATGCAAGACCAGAATGTCTTCAACCAAGTACTTTTTCCTCATATTGAACGCTAAATGAACGTGGAAAACCTTATCGATTGGTGATACAAAACAGTGGAATAGACACTCGGAACAATTCATGCATATATATTGCTGTTTACGTATTGAATAAGAAATAACTGCCGAAGAGATGATGTGATTCAGGTTTCCCTGTAAAGATAAAATATGGCTTATATTCTGATAATTAAACCCTCTTGCTTGATTGATTGATCTGTCACTAATATCTAAAGCTCCTTGCGAATTGAAATATGTGAAAGGTAAATGTAGTCGGTGTTTTGTCTAGTGTGCTCTCTTCTCGCCGAAGTCAGTACACGTTAAAATAATATCTAAAGCTGCGTGTGCTTGAGATTATTTAGGGAATTACTTCTTCAGCATGTCCTGCAGCGGGCCCGGTAGATACTTCATCATCGTGTCCATGATGTTTTCTTCCTCCTCGTCATCTCCGCAGCCGGATGGTACTGCTTTCTTTGGACGGGTCAGACTGCCTTCGCTCGCCTGCTCCATCGCCGCCTGCGCCTCTGCTTCGGCCACCTCGCGCTTCTTAATGCCATACTGATGCACAAACATAGAGATGTTACAAAGCTGACATTAAAAAGGTTGTATCAATAAAAATGTCATTACTCACCCTCATATCATTCCAAAGACCTTAGTTCATCTTCAGAACACAAATGAAGATATTTTTGATGAAATTCGAGATCTTTTTGACCCTCCATAGAGAGCAACACAACTACCACGTTCAAGAAAGGTAGTAAGGACATTGTTAAAGGGGTCATAGGTTGCCCATTTTCCACAAGTTGATATGATTCTTTAGGGTCTTAATGAAAAGTCTGTAACATAGTTTGGTTAAAATTTCTCAATGGAAGTGTAAAAAAACACCTTTTTTTACCCTGTCAAAAACAGCTCCTTTCAGATCAAGCCGGGGTCTAAGGTAAGACACCAGTCCAGTCTGTGCTGAAACGCTACTGTCAATCAAACTATAGTGGGAGGGGCCTGCCTGTGTGACGTCACACAGACAGGCATCTGAGATCGGCTCGATTTGAGAAAGGGGAAAACTTTTAACGAGATTTTTAAAAAAACACTGGGTGGATTTTTATCATTATAGGGTGGTTGTGTACACACACTGCCAACACACATTTCAGTTCAAACAACTTGTAAAAGTGCATGTAGCATCCTATGACCCCTTTAAAATAGTCCATGTGACATCAATGGTTCAACCTCAACATAGAAGAGAAGAATCGTTGAATAAAGTCGTTATTTTTGTTTTCTTTGCGCACAAAAAATATTCTCGTAGCTTTATAAAACTGAGGTTGAACCACTGACGTCACATGGACTATTTACTACCTTTCTGGGCCTTGAACGTGGTAGTTATGTTACTATCTATGGAGGGTCAGAAAGCTCTCAGATTTCATCAAAACTATCTTAATTTGTGTTCTGAAGATGAACGAAGGTCTTACGGGTTTGGAACGACATGAGGGTGAGTAATTAATGACAAGAATTTTTATTTTTTGGGTGAACTATCCCTTTAAGGTAAAGAAACTAAGACACTGTTTATGCTTGTCTATGCACTTTTGAGTCAAATGTGTCCAAACATTTGAATCATATACTGAATGATTACTGTGCTCGTATACAGTACCATGATATTTACATGGTACTTTAGAAAATAACATGGTACTAACAATGATGCAATGACAGATACAATTTTGCCAACTATTTAAAGAACTAACCGCAAGTTGTGTGCCTTATTTTCTTTGAGTAATCATTTTTAAATTTTTTTAATAATTTAAACATTTTAAGTTTTTTTTTTTTAAATTGTCATCAAAAGGATAGTCTACCCCCAAATGAAAATTCTGTCATCATTTACTCACCCTCATGTCGTTCCAATCCTGTATGTCTTCTATGGAACATAATGGACTTTTTTCACACACTGTGATGACTTGTTTCCACATTTATTGTCATCATAAATCTAGCAAAGTTTTTTTTTTTACATTCTCATTTTTAAAAATGTAATGTACATTTATAACACACTTTGTTTCATTACCTTGGCATTTGATTACAGAAAACTAGTTAATGCTTCTGCGCAGTTACAGTAGTTGAGGGAGTGACAGCAAATTTGACATCTTTCCCTCTTCCAGTTAAGACATAATCAATCTTGTAATATTTTTTTTTTCTCTTTTGAAGAGCATACAGAAATGCTATTACAGATGTTTTTTCTTTTGCTATTGGAGTAAATGGAAATGCAAGAATTATATTTGTTATAGATTCTGTTCACCACTGTTACCCGTAAGCTTCTGAGGCCTTGTCCACAGGAAATGTGAGTCCATAGAAGATATTTTGTTTTGGTTCCAGTGGATTTCGATTTTAGTTTTTGTCCACATAATGGAATTCAATGGGAACAGAAACTGTTTGGTTAACAACATTATTTGAAATATCTACTTTTATGTTCCACAGAAGAAACAAAGTCACAAAGTTTGGGATGATGTGAGGATTAGTAAATGATGACAGAAATTTCATTTTTGGATGGACTTATCCCTTCAACTAGATTAGGGGTAGGCAAGTTCGGTCCTAGAGAGCCTCCAACCCTGAAAACAAAACTCACCTGCCTATAGCCTTAGTAATCCAGAAGACATTGATTAGCTTGTTCAGGTGTGTTTGATTAGGGTTGGAGCTGAACTCTGCAGGACTGCGGCTCTCTAGGACTGAACTTGCCTACCCCTGTTCTAGATGAAAAAAATATTGACAATATTGAAAACAGAGTTGACTTGAGAAGGTTTGGGGAGCCAATAAGGATAGCTAATGATCATTTTCCAAAAAGCAGAGATCTGACCATGATGGTTGGTCTCTCTAACCTTGTCTCTGATGCCCTGTCTTATGGCTTCCCGCTCTGCTTCCATCTTGGCGTGTTTGTCCTTCCTCTCATCCTCTTCCTGTCTCAGAGCTTCCTGTCTCTCTTCTTCCTTCTCTTTTTCTGCTTCAGGATCTTTATCCTCATCTCCTCCCAACATTTTGCCAACATCAGGGGGGCCTCCTGCAAACACATAAGAGATTCTATAAAGAATATAAATGACAAACAACTTTTTGTTTTTTAAATGATGACTGGATGCAATTACAAAAACGATGTGCAGTTGCACTATTTATATTACCTGTTCGTACAACAGATAAGGCCTAGATATTTCCAAATAGCTTAATAGATATTAAGCTAGATATTTCCAAATTAAAAAGCGAACATGTAAGTGAATACTGTTTATAGTGTATATTAGACAATATGTTGAGACTTGATGTAAAGCTGATATGATAAACCTAATTATACAAGAAACGTCACATGATCCTTCAGAAACCATTCCAATATGCTGATTCAAGAAACAATTCTTATGTTTATCAATATATTTTTGCGGAAACCATAATGCATGGTTTATTTGATGAATAGAAAGCTCTTTTGGTTAAATTAACTTTTGATCAAATTAATGAATCCTTGCTGATTAAAAGTATTGATTTAAAAAAAAAATCTCCCAAGCCTTTGAATTTGAATGTATTTGGTAGTAATGAAATTTCATTGGTTTTTTATAAACTAAAAAACACTATCCCAGTTTATCTGCAAAAACTGATGACAGGTTAGTACAAAAGTCAAAAAAGACCAACCAACTCAGTAAAACAAATTTAACTTATAAATAATAAATTCACCACAGCAGGTAAAGACACCTGGAGGCACACAAACACATTCCAGAGCATCTGAGAAAAATATCAGTTGACAAATCTATCCAACCACTGAAAGAAGTCCTGTTCACTGGATTAAACAGAGCATCCTAGCAGGAACAGGAATAATTCATGGGTTGGTCACAGTCCCGGGGAGGCCACACCATGCCTCAACACACTTCCAAAAATATACAGAGGGAATGTCACTTTGCAAAAGTCCTGGCCACCATCCTCATGCCTCTAGTAGTACACAGAGGACATCACATTCAGATCTCCCAAGCACAGTCTGGAAAGTGAAAGGAGGATATATGCGACAAAAATCTGGCTTTGTGTGATATGTGCTACATATCAATTTCTGTGGTCTGGCTCTCACCACCCACTGAAACACAAACTTTACATCATCAGAACATTACACCACAAGGCGAAGAATGTACTAACAAGTGCAATATCAAGGAGCAAACTCATCAAGAATGCTCTGAAAGCCTGTGGCTATGCAGAACGGGCCTTTGTTAAAAGCCAAGATGTCCAGCAAAAACACACAGAAACAGAAAAACATTGTTACACTGTATGTGGACGAATTGACTCAAAACTGTCAAAGGATCTTCAGTAAATACAACATTCTAGACCCAATTAGGTAACACTTTATAATAATAAATCATTAAAGGGGTCATATGATGCGATTTAAATTTTTCCTTTCTTTTTGGAGTGTTACAAGCTCTTGGTGCATAAAGAAGATCTGTAAAGTTGCAAAGACTAAAGTCTCAAATCCAAAGAGATATTCTTTATAAAAGTTAAGAGTCAGCCACACCTACCTAAAACGGCTCGTTCTAACACGCCCCCACATGTCTACGTCACAATGTGGGAAGATTTGCATAACGCCGCCCAAATGTTCACGCAAAGAAAGAAGGCGTAACTTTTATTCTCGCTGTAGTATTGTTGTTGCCGCCGCTGCCATGTCGTGAAGGCGCTGTGTGATTCGGTGTGAAAGCGAAACTACTTTGTTTGGCCTTCCAAAAGAGGACGATATCCGCTTCGTCATGCCTGGAGCTGATCCGTGCTGGTCGCTGAGGAAATACATCAACGTCACGCTGTGGATCGCCGGATCGGCTTTCAC